ATGCATACATTATATGATAGTTTCACTCAATAATAAATGTTAATTTATTACCGCATTAATAAATGTTAATTTATTAACACAAAGGGGCTGGCATTTCAAAAGCATCACTGCAAATGAAAGCAATGCTGTAACTGACTGAATTTCACTGAAAATCATTCATAGCAATGAACTGTGTCAATCTTTCCATTAAATTAAAGATAAAACAGAGTGGTTTAGGAAGTATTCAGTAGTGTTGCCAACAAAGCACAAGGAAATCCTCCAAGTAAGGATTTGCATTTTTTAAGAGAATGCTTGAAGAATATAGCATATTTATAAATTAGGCTCAGTCTCCAACAACTGAGAAAATAATTTTGTCACTCAGCTTCATTTTTCAGTTCTGCTGCATGAATGAAAAGCAAAGATTATGAGGTTAAGATCAAGCATCAAGCAAGCTGTACATTATTGCCTTTTTCCATCTCCACAGAATAAGGCTAATAAGCATTTTTCCTTCCCAGTGTCAAAATTTTTTAGCAGTCTGGCAAACTCTGGATGCTCCACTTCCCATGAATAGATGAAGATGAATCTTGCTAAGATTTGATGCCCCACCACGATAGCTGAGAATCATTCATAGTCAGATATATACCGGCAAACAGACTAGTGAGGAACTATTGCCCGGTCCTGACATTGAATAGGATGGCATAGGATGGTCTGTGTCCACATGGTGAATTTCCCCCCTGCTCCGAAACAGGATGTTTGCTAACTACTGGGAATGGTCCTGGGCCTCTGCCAAGCCCAGAACTATGCCAGAGTGCTCCCTGGGAGTTGATAGATGCCAAAAAGTCTCTTAAAAACTAGTTAAAAAATGTCACCGCATAGCTGGCCCAGTACTCAAATATATGCAGCAGCCCCAGTTAGTTACAAATAAGAATGTAACCTATGTGGCTCTTCTCTACTAATCACACTAGCTAAAGACATCAATCTAAGATTAAGCTTGTGTTAAGGGGTCTCCTGAAGAAACCATTAACAGAAGCCTCCCTGATAATCAATAGGAAAATAGATGGGGTCCAAAACTGAATTTATCCTGGGGTAAACTGGGAATTCCCAATTCATTTTTATTTTCATTAAATAAGAAAGAATTATTTCACAGAAATTTAAAAAAGAAAAACCCACAGTACCCTTTCACCTGCAGAGCACAAGGGTGCCAAGAAATTAGCAGCATTCAAAAGATGAAGAGCAACCAAGAAGGAGAGAGAAAGAGATAGCACTTTCTCCTTTTTACGCCTGCTAGCTCAAGTGCATCAGGTTCTGTCATCTTCACATAAGAAAGAGACAATCTAGTCTGTATTTGGATAGACTGTGAAAAGGGTTTAAATTGGGTAACAAAAATCAAACATACACTCCAAATATAAATGTTTACTGAATTATTTGTACAATAAATACAACACATTAACCTCTGGCTCAGAATAATAAAGTGTAAGCAATCAAAAGCTCTTAAAGCAGAGAATTTAAGACCAAAACCAAAACTCATGTCATAGAAGAGTATCATGTAAGAGCTACACAAAAATAAAGTCAAATGATCTAGCTACTAAAATACACACATGTGCTCAAAATCTTGTGGGAATCAAATATTCCAGTAAAAATAAAGGGAGAGATGGAAACACAAGTTTCTTATTATCACACTTCATATGTTATAAAACCTAACAGTTAATTTATTTTTGGCAAAGGGACAAAGATTGCACAACACTCTGGCTTACACAAATATTTTCTATTGTTAAATGCATCTTAAATGTAGCTTGTTATAAGTTAACTTCATGCACACAGTGCACCATGCAGTCTGAGATTGTCCCAAAGATACCTACTTTTCAAAACACCAATAAATAGCAAGCTGCCAGCATCCAGTGAGCCAGGTGTAAAAAAAAAAATCACAACAATTTACAGCTGAATTGAAACCAGATAAAACCATTTGTGCAATAAAGACTGTACAGTTGCTGACCAAAGAAAACTTGGTATTTTTGGACAAATTACTGTGTATACTTTCTAAAGCACTCCCTCTTGAAAAGATAAAACAGCAATAAATGTTCTCTCAAAAAAATGCCCTTGCTTATAATCATTAAGTGAAATATGCCTGTGAAAATGAAATGGGTTAACCTCAAGTTTCACGTGTGTAGTTCCTGTTTCCTTTAAAGGGGAAAAAAAAAAGTTAGACATGCAACAGAAACGGTTATGAAAAAGTGGATGGAACTACTCCTGCCTATATTAAACAGAGACCTTACAATAACACTGCACTTCCTTCCACTTGAAGATATTATAATGTAAAGGAAGAGTCAATGATTTACCAAGAGTGAATGTTTAAGAATAAAAATTCAGTATTCTTCATTCATTATCTGCCAGCAGACTGACTTATTACTGAGCACTAACAGTTGGCGACGAACTGTTTATAGAGGTGCAAGGACAGCGTCCTACATCCTACTGATTCAGAGTGACAGAGAAAAATGTTCAGATACACAAGAACATGCAGTAACACCTCCCATACTCACCAGGTAACACAAACCAAGACTGAGTTGTAGAAGCAATGATACATGCACATGTATAAAATTTTAAAAACAATGAACTTCATACCAGTACTCATCACAATTTGTATTTCTAGTCTCTCCATGCATTTCCCCATGTACAGCCAGCAATCTGCTTCCCTTAAGATAAGAAGCTAGTATTAAAATCATAACCACTCTTAATTTTTGGTGTAGTTACATAATGTAATTAACAAGTGTTTAGTGATCTGTTCATAGAATCACAGAATCATAGAATAGTTAGGGATGGAAAGGACCCCAAGATCATCAAGTTCCACTCCCCCTGCCATGGGCAGGGACACCTCACACTAAACCATGCCATCCAAGGCTCTCTCCAACCCGGCCTTGAACACTGCCAGGGTTGGAGCATTCAAAACTTCCTTGGGCAACCCATTCCAGTGCCTCACCACCCTCACAGTAAAGAACTTCTTCCTTATATCCAATCTAAACTTCCCCTGTTTAAGTTTCAACGTGTTACCCCTTGTCCTACCACTACAGTCCCTAATGAAGAGTCCCTCCCCAGCATCCCTATAGGCCCCCTTCAGATACTGGAAGGCTGCTAGGAGGTCTCCAAGCAGCCTTTTCTTCTCCAGGCTGAACAGACCCAAATTTCTCAGCCTGTTTTCATAAGGAGGTGCTCCAGTCCCCTGATCATTCTTGTGGCCTTCCTCTGGACTTGTTCAAACAGATCCATGTCCTTTTTATGTTGAGGACACCAGAACTGACCACAATACTCCAAGTGAGGTCTCACGAGAGCAGAATAAAGGGGCAGGATCACCTCCTTCGACCTGCTGGTCATGGTCCTTCTGATGCAGCCCAGGATACAGTTGGCTTTCTCATTTCTCATCGACCAACACCCCCAAGTCCTTCTCCGCAGGGCTGCTCTGAATCTCTTCTCTGCCCAACCTGCACCTGTGTCTGGTATTGCTCCAACCCAGGTGTAGGACCTTGCACTTGCCATGGTTAAACTTCATGAGGTTGGCATCAGCCCACCTCACAAGCGTGTCAAGGTCCCTCTGGATGGCATTCCTTCCCTCCAGTGTATCAACCAAACCACAGAGCTTGGTGTCATTGGCAAACTTGCTGAGGGCGCACGAAATCCCACTGTCCATGTCAGTGACAAAGATGTTAAGCAAGACCAGACCCCTGAGGGATCTCCAGCTGGACATCAAGCCATTGACCACAACTCTGTGTTCGGCCATCCAGCCAGTTCTTTTTCCACCAAATGATCCATTCATCAAATTGATGTCTCTCCAATTTAGAGACAAGGATGTCATGTGGGACAGTGTCAAACGCTTTGCACAAGTCCAGTTGGATAACATCAACTGCTCTACTGCTGTCCATCAGTTCCATAGTCACATCATAGAAGGCCACCAAATTGGTCAGGCAGGATTTCCCCTTAGTGAAGCCATGCTGGCTGTCACCAAGCACATTGTTGTTTTTCATGTGCCTTAGCATGCCTTCCAGGAGAATCTGCTCCAAGATTTTGCCAGGCACAGAGGTGAGACTGACTGGTCTGTAATTCCCTGGGTCATCCATTTTCACCTTCTTGAAAATGGGGGTTATATTTCCCTTTTCCCAGTCGTCGGGAACTTCACCTGACTGCCATGATTTTTAAATATGATGGCCAGTGGCTTAGCAACTTCATTCGCCAGCTCCTTCAGGACCACTGGATGGATTTCGTCAGGTTCCATGGACTTATGCGTATTCAGGTTCTTGAGATGGTCTTGAACCAGATCTCCTACAGTGTGCGCAAGGTCTTCTTTCTCACAGTCCCTGCGTCTGCCTTCCAAGACTTGGGTGGTGCGGTCAGAGCCTTTGTCAGTGAAGACTGAGGCAAAGAAGTCATATGTAATGACGAGAATTCAACAGGAATTTCACAAATACACCACATATCACCATTATTATCTATAATAAACCAGCATTTCAAAAGAAAAAATGTAGAAGAGAGTAGACCTAAGTTAGATATTAGGAAAACATTCTTTACTTTGAGGGTGGTGAGGCACTGGCACAGGGTGCACAGGGAAGCTGTGGCTGTCCCATGTCTGGCAGTATCCAAGGCCAGGTTGGACAGGGCTTTAAGCAACCTAGTCTAGTGGATGTTGTCCCTGCCTGTGGCAAGGGGTTGGAACTAGTTGATCATTAAGGTGTCTTCCAACTCAAACCATTCTATAATTCCATGACTTAAAGGTCCAAATTCTGTCAGGACTTTATTTTACATCCAGCTACATTATTATATGTTATTTGGATTCATAATTAATATTTTGATCTTAAGGTCCTTTCCAACTCTAACTATTCAATGATTCTTTGATTCTATGATTTTTATTTGATTTTAACTGAAATCTTGTGTATAGCAGAATAGAGCTTCCACAGGGAAGACACAGCACTACCGATAGCCTAAGCACATGCACTGCTTTGCTAATAATGTAACTCCATTCTATAAGATCAATGTACCTGAAGTTCTGATGCTCGCTTCATCATCTCCAGTGTAATGTAGCAACCAATAGAATGAGCAATCAGTATCAGCTTTATATCTTTTGATACATTGTTTTTGAGGAAGTTCAGCTTATGCTCTACTTGTCCGTGAAGTCCAAAAACATCCTCCAGCTCCTTTATATCTGTGTCTGAAACATAGAAGAAAGTGCTTTGTTTTAACGACAGAAATTCAGAAATTTCAGCTATCTTTTTTTAATTCCCACAGTTTTTTTGAAAACTCTGAAATAAACGAGCATATTAATTAAACACATAAACCAACTCACTGATCTTAAAAATTTCATTTTGATTACCACTGGTAAACACAGACTGATGAATCACATACATACAGGATGTGAAGACTTGTGTAGCTGGGGAGCCAGGGAAGGATATGGATACACGTAAAGCTTCACTGCACATCATCTAGCATTGGATCCCCTTCATTCAGAACAAGACCAAACTCAAGGCACTGAATCAGCTTAAATCAACCCAGACTAAATTATTGTGAGATCAGAACCTACAACAGCAAAACTGCCTAGGAATAAAAGTCCCTTCACTCAAGATAAACTGTCACATATGTTATCATGCACTAAGAACCTTCAAATATTCAAAATCTCCTGTTTTAAAATAAAGATGCACAAAAAAGTCCTATGGAGCAAGGAAAAAAATGAAATTTATAAGTGTCAACATAGAACACCAGCAATTACATAAAATACTCCTATTTAGGCAGGTTTTTATTGCCAGTCCACCCACAAAAGAATAAGACCAACTTAGAGCTTCATGGTTCTAGGTAATAATGCAATATGAGGAACAGCTAACAGAAGTGGTGCCCTAACCAGCCCACCCAGTATTAGGTGTTTAACTTCCCACTTGGTTTCTTTTGATGTCCTCTGCATCAGTTCCCTACGTGAAAAACAGAGGTGGAAGAAATTATCCATAAGGCAGACATACTGAAAAGGCACATACATTAAAAAGATGGCAATGCATTGAAAAACTGCTGTAAAGGAAAGTTAGAGAGCACCACAGATCCATTTCAGATGCAATTGGTTTTGCACCTGCTTGGAGAAAAACATGGAGGTAACTGCCTATGACTATGAACACAGCTTACCAAATTAGGAAGGCTGACTGGTCTTTTAATCCACATGTAAGAAGTTTGATGGCAATTGGCCAATAACCTCAAAAACTAAAAATTAATAATGCTACTGCTGTGAAGTTACTGGGGCTTTGGCAGTGACAGTATTAAGTGGCAGCCTAAGTAGGCTGGCACTATATTGCTTTTTTGATCATCTGCACGAGATATAAACTTCTGAAGCAAAATAATTGCTCTAGAATGTGTCATGACAGCTTTTTTATTGAGCTTAGATTATTAACACAAAGGTCACAACGACGAAGTTCTTCAATTAAACTAGTATTTCTATTAAAGCTATTAATGGTCATATCTGAGCACAATTTAGAGTAGTTTACCCTAAATGAAAAAGGGGTATACTAAAACGCACTCAAGGAATGTAAAATTAGATGAGAAATAATATTTTGCTTATTATGCTTTCTACAAGTAATGGAAAACAAAGAGCTTTTTCTGTTTTCTGAAACTCTAAATGAAAGCCTTATGCCAAAACAAGTTTTCTAAACTTAATTTCTATTTTTAGCATAAGCTGTCTTTCCTTTTCATTTAATTACACAGGAGCGCTACCTCATGCAGGAGAGGGCTGTCTACACTGCAAGTGTAATTAAGGGTAAATATAACTGACATAAAACACAGAATACTAGAAATACAGTGGCCTGCAGGATGCAGCAACAAGTGAAAGAGGATGCTACATTGAACATATTTACATTACTGTGTGTTGGATCGAGCAGGTCAGTTTTCCCTTGTAAATATTTACTACCATTTCTGTATTGTTTTACTCAAGCACTGCCATCTCCAGTGATTTATCAGCATGTCTTTTAACATTTGTCATTCCATTCACAGCTTCAATTCTTGACAGTAAGTGATTTTACAATAATTTCAGCTTATTTTCAGGTTAAAGCAAAAGGAAGGAGAGAAAATAGGTCTATAAATCTTCTTCAGAACTTCTCATGGGTTGCAAAACCCCAGAAACCAAGCAGGAAACAAAACAAACCTGTATTTGTATTGCTCAGTCTCAGGAGACTAACAACTGCTTTTCACCACATGAAATCAATTTCTGCTACATGAGGTGCTGAACTTAACTGTAATGCAATTAAACAATACAGCAAAGAGTCTAGACCAGTCTCAACATGTGGATGGCTGTGTTAGATAAATACAGTTCACTAGTTGTTAAGATGCTAGATATCTAATCTAATGTTTAGTTACCTAATAAATAGCAGCATAGAAATTCAGGGCAACACATTCATAGCTATTATTGGTTTTAGCAGAGATGTGCCTGTTCACAATCAGTTTTGTTGCCAAAGCAAGAACCCCAAGGATACGGGTGAAGATTAAGAGTAGAGTGAAAATAAGACCTACTTCCCCCTTGCATTTGGCCAGACGTTGAGCACACTCAGCTGAAACCTGTCACTGGTGCTTCCTTAATACAGCAGGGGAGAGTTGAGCTTGCAGAAGCAATTTTTAATTGGATGGGTTAGTTATGACAGATGATGATCACGGAGACCCATTCTACTGCACTCTGCCAAACCATCCTCAGCACAGCCTTGCTCAGCACCACTCAGAGCAAGAATGCTCAGATTCCCACCTCTACTGGCCTATGTTACATCCACGTAAAATCTCTCTCAGATTGAAAGCGAGACCTGACAGCCAGTGCTGACCCCAGAGAATTGTTTTATCTGTTTAACACAACTTTTCCTCTTCTTCTAAAATACTGGCTTGCTGCCAAGTCAAATCAAGTTGGCATTACTCCTAGAGAAGCCGCACTGGAGAATAAGTGCGCAGCGTGGGGTCTGGCAAGAAACATGCCAAATTCTCCTCATCACTGACTGACCCTGCTCTCATCAGGTGAAACTTCAGCGTCATGTAACCTGAAGCTGAAATACGCATCCTATTTTCCTTCTGGATAAATATAAAATTGCCCATGCCTAGTGTCAGTTCATGTTTCCTTAACACAAATGCTGCACTTGTAAGAGTCCAAACTATGTGAGAGCTGGGCTGCGTCACAAGTTTGGAAGATTAATTATTTATTTTACAGAATAAAATCACCCAGGGATTATCCAAAATCAACATGAATTTCTTGGGTGGAGAAGCTTAAATGGGATCTTTGTATAAGCAAACAGACTTGCACAAACACACTGGCAGTCAGCTCTCCAATGACTCTACATCAGAGAAGGGACCAGAGTTACTTCACCTGAAGGTGTGGAATAAACGGCATGGCTGAAGAAGAGCTCATTTAAGCAGTTTTCAGATAGCAGAAATTATATGACTTGTACCTTATGCTGTAAACACCCCATTAGGGCCAAGGCATGTGATTTCAAGACTTTATTTAGTTGAAGTGTATTAAAAGAAATACTGTATTTCTTTATTTTCTTTGGCAAAGCATTAATCTTCTGATGTGCTTTCGGAAAAACAAACAGACCATCACTTTAATGAATCTCTTTTTCTGACCTTTGCTAAACCCACAGTCAGAAAACAATGACAGATTAAAATAAAGTGCTTGCTCTAAGATTAGTAGACAAGTTAATCTTGCTAGGAAAGACGACTTTGGTTTTCAGGGAAATAACAGAGGATTGGGTTTGTTTGTTTTTCTGCTATGTATACACTGGAAATTCTGAGGCAGAGGAAAAAAAAGTGTATCAGTTCTATGAACATGCCTTAGACTGGAGGTTCATAAAATCTAGCCTTTCATTAAAAAGCCTCAAAAAAAAAATATCATGCACTCCTTTTTAATGGGTGATTCAAAAAGACAGTGAAGGCTAGATTTTCCAACACTGTACTCAAATTTGTGCATATAATCTCTGCATGCCACTGTACTTCCCTAATTTCACAAGGGAATGCTTGTGCATCTGAACTCCAAATTATCCCAGTCAACAGGTGACTGAATATTTGAGCTCAGTCCGTATAGACAAGGCCTCCAAACTACTCATGATCAAGTAAGGAACTGTGTGAAAAAATTGACTTGTAATTCTATGCTATGAAGGAAAGGGTGGTAAAACCCACAGTCCTACCCAAACTCTATCTTCTTCTTCTCTGGGTCATTTACTGCAGGAGGTAATCCCAGCATATCTAAAGGACAAACTCTAATGAACAACCTGCATAAACTCTTGCGGTCAAGAATTTTCAGAATTGGACTTCTTACAGGGTAAGGACAAGTATCTTGAGACTGAGGGCACTGGAAAAAGATTGACCTCTTCCTCTGAAGACACTGCTCATTTCAGCTGTGTGACATCACAATACTGCTATTAACAGTGAGAAGAAATAACAAGTTTAAACACATGAAAATGCAATAACAAGAAAGTATCGAGAGGAAGACAAAGAGTAAGCGAAAAGATACTGAAAGGTCAACGATGATATCAAAGCATATGAAAATGAAAGGCACAGAGCATCAAGTACGGCCAACCAAAAAGTTCAGGAGAGCTAGTTCAGGGTCAAGTTAAGTTCACTTTGTCTCCATCAAATACCCAAATACCACCATTATATAGCACCAAGTGTTTTAGAATTTACGCCCTCGCCTCCTTTTCTCATTACAAAACCATGCAAACACTGGTGAGAAGAGCAGCAGCTGTGGCTAAGGAACTACTGTTTAGATGGAGCAACCCATGGAAAGTTTTATCTTGCCTTCATGTAGTGACAGACAGAAAGCAATCCTGCAACTAAAGCCCCTGGGAGGATTACCTGTTAAACTGCCATGCATAGTCAGAAGTCTAATTCTGGAAATTAAATAAATCATTTGACTGGTTCTGTTCTTGTAACAAATGCCTTACGATTGAATGATGCCATTTGAAAATGCTTAAATGCAACTGCAAACTGAAAACCTGAGATTTCAGGTTTGTAGGTCCAGTATGGGCAAATGTGCTAAGAAAATACATTCCCTAAAGATACACTGCTTAAAGCCTGAATTCTTCACCCAATCTTTCATCTGATTATTGAAACCTGGATAATTTGTATGAGCAACTGTCGTGGTTTAGGCACAGTTGGCAACCCAGAAAAAAACACGTAGCCCGCTCTCTCACCCTCCCCCTGCTTTCT